AAAATATTTGAACAGTTAGTTTCGATTGTTTTTAGATGGAACACCTACTTGCAACGATCTTTAAAATGGATGCTTTACTCTTTCTGGACCGCATATGTAGAAATGCGGTCCAGCCGCATGAAACAATTTTCCTAATAGTTATCTTAAAAAAAACGTTCAAGAAGTCCAGCTATTGTCCTGATAATTTAATTTCTAGAGCACCTGCAGGATACATGAACGTGTTCAGGGTAATGTCATTTTGAACAAAAAAAAAAAGGGAATTGTAACACTAAGAACCATAAGAGGCATATAAAAGTGAATCAAAACATATAAGACAACTACCTGTATCGCGTCATCCTTCCACAAAGTTTCTATCTCCTGGGCAAGCTCCTTACTCAGACGTGGATAATCAAACCTGTCTCCAATTTGAGAGAATTTTTCTCCAATATCCTAATCAGAAAGACAAGTCCTTAGTCAAATGCAGATAATTAAAACTGCCTCCAATCCTAACCCAGAAAGATATAAAACAATAGCACAAGCATGGTATCTCCAGTGCATTAATATCAGTTATATCCTCATTTCTCCTTCAAAAAGAATTCACATAATACAATTTCCAAATACCATTCACTTCAAGACAACACCAAAATAGGATAGAAAGGAAAGAGTATAAGGAAGATAGGTGATAATGGTCACAGTTCTTACTTGTATAGCTCAAGTAATGAATCAATATGGACATTCCAACAGCACAGATCTCAACCAGGCAAAGTAAACAGGGAAAACAAAATTTTCCTTACAACTTCTTGCCAAGCTTGACAGATAGATGAAATCAATTGTGCATGTCACAAAGAGGCAAATTAACAAGGTACTTAATCTTTCCTATTCATTTTCTTTTCAAACATGATTACCCCCCCACCCCAAAAAACCCAAAAAACAAAACCAGCACACACAGACTGAAACATTATTTACGTAGTGGCTTACATATATTGCATGTGAGAGGGGAAAAGTTACCAGAGACGTCTTCCATTTAGAGGAAATGAATAATTTACTCTCTAATGTGCTTCAAAATGTAATGTTTCTAACCAAGGAAAGCATTAGTCTACAGAACTTATCAAAACCCGTAGCCCAAGGAAACATCTATAGTCCATCCCCACTGATAAATAGTTGCGGATTCATTGTAAATGGGTGAATGCACTGTGGGCCCCACAAAAGTTAACCATCCAACCATTTGTCAGTGGAATGGATGGTGAATATAGCAGCAGATTATGGTTTCCCATAGTTCATTGACCATGGCAAACTACCATTTGTTGTTAATTTTGAAAGAGATATATGCAGGGCAATGAATGCATTTTCAATCTTCCTTTTTCAGGTATGTTCAAGCAAAGGAAGGCACTCTCAAACCTGATTATCAGGAGATATAACATACTTCGAGGAACCCTCTTCATTTTGAGCAAATTCTTTTGAACCATCGTACAAGAGCTGCCAAAAAACCCAATTCATCAAATTAAAAGAACAAATTATCATATACTAAAGGTAAAAGTCTAAAAGGTCAAGGGTCATTTGACTACTATCGATGCAATAATGCTTTTAAATAGTTGATACTAGATGCTCTATGCCTTGCAAAAAGGGAAACAACCAACACACCCTGTCCAATATTGCGTACTTTAATTGTCTGGTACACATTTGCATGAATAACTGATATATAGCTCATAAGTTCTGCCTCGTCAAAGCCAGTTTGAAATAAAAGTTTTATCTGCATATAATCCACGGAATTGGGAAATGTCAAGTTAAATCACCCCAAAAAAAAAAAGTCTGCAGTAATGACTCTGAATATAACATCAATAGAGCAAAACGATGCTTATTTTACCTGCTTAAATATTGTAGACTTCCCTGATTCTCCAGCCCCTGATACCAAAAACAAAGTTAGACTGATCTTCAGAATTATAGCTTCTTGTTTTTCTCAATCACTGGGAACAAATAGAGAAGCAACTGTAACCACACCAATATGTGCAAGAAACAAAATCCGAATGCAGGGATAGTATTCACAAACCAGATAGGCAGTCACAAAGAACAAGTTATGAGAATTCGAGGCTGTCAGGTTTTTATAACATTTTTGTATTCCAGAAACTATTTCTTAACAGAGCCAAAAAATTAAGGAACATTCATCAATGGATTGCTGCCGAACGCCTTGGATGTTGCAAAAGGCTTACTCAGTCACCGGTGGAATGTAGAAAGGTGGTGGAAACAGAAAGAAAGTTAATAAGTAACAATTACCAATTTATTAGAAATCTTGTTGCTCCAAGGGAAATAAATATCTCCTCACTTGTAACATATTACTCACCGAAATCTCAAAATAAGTGAATTGGCTACACAAATTTCAATTTCCTTTATATTGAGGCAAATGGGCCTTTGACTATACTCTAAACTAAGGATACAAGCATCAAGTCACATTATGCGTACCAAGCAGTAGTAGCTTATGAATATGTTTTTCAATCTTTGATTCCTGAGCAATCCTCCTCTCTATTTCTGCAGCCTGAAATGTACACAAAGCAAGCAAAGTCATGGAATAATGGATTAGAGATTATGAATTAAAAACATCAAGTTTGTGAAATGTTACAATGTACAAAGACCAGCAACACCTGCTCATACCTAGAATAAATAAATAAATAAATGCATGAGAAGCTTATATACATATACACCACCTGAGATTTTTCCTTGGCATCAGCTTCAGTGAGAGGTCTTTGTCTGCTGCAGAGTAGGCCCATATTTTCTATTAAAATGGACAGCATGGAACGATCACCAGCTTCGCCAAAAGTTCTTTCAAAAAATAACCCCAACAAATCTTCTACTTTTGAAGTTTTGTCAAGACAGCTTCTACTGCTACATATCTACCTCATACATATTTGGGTGCATCCTATGAGCTCAACGAAGACCTTAAAAATATATAAAAAAATAATAAATAAAATAGGAAAAAATGAAGCAAACAAAAAACATTTCTAAAATTGACAAATAAAAGAAACATGATGCAAAAACGAGAAGAACCAAATAAGCTAGGGGGAGTAACATGAGCATTTATATACATAACATGCATGTTACATTCATAATATTCATATAGCAGAGGAATCCACAAAGCCATGCAACTATATCTTATTTCAAGGTCCCAGTATAGGAATACCCTACTCAAAAGTCTAAGGAATTTAACTGATTGTTTTATGTGAAATTTTATTATGTACAGAACTCCATGGCACTAATCACCATTGGATTTTCTGGATGAACAGACAGCTGTGTAACTCGGACACATGTATACATGATTTTTGGTGCATGCACGCCATAGACACCACACACATGTTTGACATATGGGAAACACAGACACTTCTGCCACTTTTGTGAAAATGGTATGATAAAAATACTTAATTTCACGTAAAGCCCCGCTTCTCTATTCTGAAATGATACAAGAGTGCCATGTCTAAAAGGGCAATTTAGGGTTGGCATTTTGACTCTCATATCACGAATGGCAGGGACACACATATCCGTGTCTTTGTATCATGTCCAGTCCCCATGAGATATTCTTGCGTTCCCAAGCACAGGGAAGGCCAAGATATTTGCTTGGAAGAGAATAGACACCACATCACTCGCTTAGGAAATACCTCCAAAGGCTTGTCCTAATGCCGATACTACCACAAAGTTTTTCTTTTAAGCTAATTCTATGGACCAAAGAAACCTTGAGCCAACCATGAGCATTAGAATTTTAATCCAAGATTTTGCCTTGATAAGCCTAATGTTGTTACCAACCTAACAGAGATGAGTAATGATGACAAGAAATCACTGAATGGCTCTTCAACCCAAGTAAACAGGGTCTAAGCTCCCTAGAGTTTCTAAACGAATATTTTGGTTAATCCTACATAAGTATTTCCTAGAAATATGTAGGTTTCCAAGAGTACACATACACGGATATTTATGTGTAAGTGAATTCAAAAAATATGGACAGAGGAACAAAGATGCACCCATAAGCCGAGGTTCTCAATACAATGCGAGCCCTTCTCACATAGGATTGCAACACCTTCCACTAAATATATGAGCACCGAGATGACTGCTTTTTTTTAGTAATAAGTTACTAGTACCCAGCTAGAGCAACAGCCTGAGAATGTCAACTAGTAACTGAATTACGAACAGGCCAATGCATACCCAGAGTAAACAAAAGAAAATTTTAATAGGCAAGCTATTCAGCAACTTAAACTTCGGCGAATTTGCTTAGAGGCGCCACCTATTTTGGCCAATATTCAGTACCTTAAAAAAAAAAAAGAGAAATTTCTTTCAAATTGAATACAATGTTTGGCTTAAATTTTTGAAATTTCAGGTCCTTGAAGCGTTTTGTAGATAGACCCATTTGTCATTAACAAAATAGTACTCCACTTCTAATACAAATTCAGTAAAAATTTCCATCACCCACCCAGTTCTCTTACACGCTAGTTTAATTTTTTTAAAGCAAATATGAAACCAAATTTCCTCCAAAATTTTGAAATTATGATTTCATCCTCACAAATCATTCAGGAATTCTTGACCTTTGCATTGAGAGATTCAAATAATTGAGAAATGGTGTGTGCATAGTAGGACTTGGGATGAGCACTTACAGCACTTGGCACATGTATTGGAGGTCTTGCAACAAGAAAGTGTCTATGCTAAGAAATTGTTGTGTGAGTTTGGCATGAGCGAAATTTTTTATATTGGTTGAATAGTGTTTAATGGTTCAGTCTTTCTTATGATGATCAAGACACCAATTTACTGTTTCGAACTTTAACATAAATAACAAGCAGATAAAATAGAAATAAATACCATACAACATTATTGAACATCACAGATCCAAATACAGTTCAATACTTTGTTCATCACTTCTCTTTTCTCAAATGAGTAAAATTAAGAATACAGTGTCATAAACATACCTCTCTCTCTCTCTCTCTCTCTCTCTCTCTCTCTCTCTCTCTCTCTACTCTACTACTACTACGTAACTACGTAACGTAACGTAACGTAACGTAACGTAACGTAACGTAACGTAACGTAACGTACTACGTAACGTAACGTAACGTACGTAACGTAA